TTTCCTAAAAAAAAAAAAAAAAGAAACAAAAACAAAACCCTGGAGCAGCAAGCAACTGAAGTCTATGTACTCACGTTTATCTTCAAACAATGTTTTAGATTTCAGATAGACTTCAGAAGGATCAAGCTTTGGAGAAGACGACTTCACAGAAGTAGGTGGAAAAGGCATTGGATGTGGAACAGACTCACTGATGGTCTCTAGGCTTCCTGAATTTTCCTGCTTATTTATTTTCTGAAATAAATAAGATTTATATAAAATAGGTTGCAACAAATGAATATTAACTGCCTTAAACAAGTAAACAGAAAGATGCACAACTAAAGCATTCTTCAATAAACATTTTTTCTTTTTTAATGTGATTTGAATGTATCTTGATTATCTCCTGAATTTCTCCTGAAATGTTCTAGAATTGCATTTTTAGCTTTCTTATGTTCCTGCTTTGAAACTTTCAGTATGAATAATGAAATCATCCATGTTAAAAATCTAACAACAGCTACATTGTGGCAGGATATGATAAAAGGCATTTCAGGACAGGTGATTCCTGTGGGCCTGGAATATCTCAATCTCACATGTCATAAACTCCAAAAGTTTTGTTTCCTAAAAATGTAACCTCACACAGATGAATTCTTTCCATATACCTCTACTGTAATAGATAAAAGTATGTACCAATATATAGAGTTCATAATTATGCACAGGACAAGGGTGGGAAATCTACACTATGAACAAGGTTTAGGTTGGCCTATCAAAATATTTCCATGCCCTTATTTTGCCATTTCACATTTTCCTCTATTTGAGGCATCTGATGCAGTGTAATGGAGTTTGTATGGAAACAAAGATATGAAGGGAGGTTGCAATCTGTCAGGATCAACCTTTCAGGTGGCATTCTAACCAATCATGTAATCCAGGATTTAAGACCAGGGGTAAGTACTGACTTAATGTGTATTATAGAGATCTAGCTGAGAGAAGCAGGGGGAGGGGAAAGAGTTGTCTGCAACTTCTGGCCACTAGGCTGCAACAGGCTGTGACTGGAAAGCAAGGGGATGAAAGATCCAGCTAACAGTCTGCCAGCTTTGACTATACAGAAGTGCACCTGCATGGCCAGGATACTAAAAGGATATTGTTAGTGTACTCTTCACTCCACTACCTAAAATCTCTCTCTTTCTGAGCTAGGATTACCTCAAGCACTGCAGTGAATTACCCTAAATGACTTGTCCTGAGGCTTAGGAGAAGCTCAGGATTTCATGTCTTCCCTAAAGATCACAGAACTGTCTCAACTGGTACCTAGCTTCATGTACATACAGCAAGGTTCATGCTGGATTTGGTATTCATTTTGGATGGAACTGTAAACTGAAAGTGGAAGAGCTGTGTTTTATTCCAGTGTCATAGACAAATCATATCAGTGTGTGGTCAGTTTTAGTTTGGTGACTAGCACTAACCTCTACACTGGCAAATTAGTTAAAATGGTTAGACCCAGGTACCTGATAGATCTGGATCATTTGGTGTGTTCTCTTTCTCATCTGTTGGTAATATTATTGAAATCTTAGCTGACCTGTGAAATGCAGAGATGGCCATAATTTATCTTGTTATCTTAGATTCTTTTCAGCCGGTACATCTTGAACGATGTGGACAGGGTTACTTATGCTTTGTCCTTTTTAGCTTGTTGAATTGGCCAGAATAGTATTTGTCCATGGCTAAGGGAGATAATCAGTGCCTCCTTACAAGTGAGATGTGTTTTGCCCCAACCCCTGCCTAGAGGAGATAGTTTTTCACCTCAAAGTTCTGTGGAATTATACTTTAGTCTCAAACATTCAATTTCTGGGAAATGTGATAAAGATAGTGGTTTTTCAGCTCCAAACACATTTGGATGAAACTAATAATTTGGACTAATTACAGTCAGGGTTTTGGCTAGAATATGATATAAAGACAGTTGGACTGCTTTGGTGGATGATATACATTGGAAGCTGGATGGTGAAGTTTGATTCTCCTAATAGTTAGACCATCTGGTAGGACTGGACCTTAAATTCACTGTCTTGCAGTGGTGCTGCTGTTTATTGTTGGGTTATAGTTCTAAAAAGTGGTAGGGCTTACTGTTCAACCCATAAGCTTCTATCCTATAGGGTTCTATCTTTTCCTCCATAATTTTCAACCTGAAACCACTGCCTGTGTGTATGTGTGTTATCTAATGATTTGGAGTCCCATTAGCGTGGCAATAACACCCAACCCAACTGCTCCTTACTATTTAACTCTAGGAAAACAACCAGTACCATTAATCGTTGCCCATTGATAATGGGCTAGATGAGGGTGAACAAAATAAAATTAAATCCAGACAAGATGGAAGTGCTGTTATATAGGAATCTATACTTGGTGACTGAGATTTAGCCTGTACTGGACAAGCTGAACTCCCTCTGAAAGATCAAGTATGCTGTGTGGGAATGTTCTTTGATTTTCAACAGTCACTGGATTTGCAGGTAACAGCTGTGATAAGAAGTGCCTTTGTATCACTATATCTAAAGTGCCAGCTATAACCCGTCCTAAGCTTGCTGAATTTGGCAGCAGATATCCATGCATAGGTTGCATATTTATATGCAGTCTTGACTAATGCAAAACACTCAGCATATGTCTATCCTTGAAACTGAAACTTACAACTGGCACAATATATAGCATCTTGGCTGATATTTGGTGCAACGTACAGTAATCACATGATGATCTGAACTGACTGCCAACTGCTTACCAGGCACAAAAGATTTTTTATATTAAACTTTAAAGCACTATCAGTGTCAGAACTGCCTCCTACTCTTCCTGGACAAGCTGGTAGCCAGCTTGTCCAAGCACAGCAAAAAAGAAAGCCTGGGCCCTGTCAAAACTTGTTCACGCTCTGTCTGGATAAGTCAGCTGCTAGCTTGTCCAAGTAAAGCAGAGAGGAAAGCTTGAAGTATGGTCTGACAGGGCAAGCCTAATAGCTTGCAGATACAAAGCTGGATTGCTGTCAGAATTTATTCCCATTCTACCTGGACAAATGGGCATTCCCAAGCAAAGCCTGGCATGTGATCTGACTGCTTACACCTGCAAATCTGGTCTGCTGACAGTGCTCTGCTCTGTCTGGACAACCAAATAGCTGGCTTGTCCAAACAAAGCCCAGAGTGAGTTTGGACTCAGGTTTGCATGTGCAAACCTCATGGTATGTTCACCCAAAGCTGAATCACTCTCAAAATTTGTTCCTGCTCTGTCTGGAGAACCTGATAGCAACGTCAGGATTTTCTATAACTGCTGCTATAAAGAGCAACACTGATCCAAAATAAACATGGAATGAGAAATGGGAGTAGCTGTTTCAAACAGAAAACCTACATTTCAGGATAACATAAAGCTCATCCTTCTCATTCAAAAACATGGTTTTCAGTTTGATTGCTTTACAAACTAAAAATCTTTATAAAAATATTTTCATTGAAATTACAAGGTTTTGTTTTATTTCATGTACAGATTAAACTTTAATTATTAAAAGTAATTAGTATAATTATTTCTTGCCCAGACCTAACTCCACTGTAATTGTTAGTTTAATTCATGGAAGTGATTTCAAACAAATTCATTTATCAGTTTAGGGGGACACAGCATCAAACAGTTTAAGAAATTTGACTTAAATAAAGGAAGTCAAGTTGGAAAAATAGTGCATAGACTGGGTTTTTCACTATAGAGTTATTTTAAGATGTAGATTTATATTTTAATATTTCATTCAGAAAAAAAAGGAGTAACAGTATTTTGTGTTTATCTCCTTCACACCTTAATCCCATAACTGATAACTAATCTTGAGAACAAATGTTTTGACCACAACTCAGCTACTTTAAGCTTTGTTCCTTCATGACATAGTTTGTTTGGTACAAACTGCCTGACATGTATTGTTTAGTTCATTCTTGTGTTGGGTTTTTAAAAAATGTTTCTTATCAAAGAACATTAAATAAGAGAACAAAGAGTCATTATTTTCTTACATAGTTTGTAGGAAAACACTTCATCACAACTAATCCATTCAGTCTTTTCTTTAATATGGTATCTTTTAATATCAATAGAAGTTGATTGTCAGTGCAGCCAATAAATAAAATTTCTGCTCATAACCTTAACCTCAGAAGGTGAACAAATGAAGAGCAAATTTTTGTAATCCAGATAAAAAGATTAAATACTAAGAGATTCTTTCAAAAATGGAAGATGTTACTTCATCCAAAATTAAGCAAAGCCCATAGCAAATTTGCAATTATTGAATGACTTTTCGCCACAAAATGTGGAGGTTTAGAGTTGTTTTTCCTTAACATCCTTCCCTAACTGTCAGATAGATTAAAATTTATGTTTAGAAAAGAATGTCTAGAAAACCCTAACAAACAAGAGCCTCTGCAAATTTTCCACTGGTAGGAATGTACAAGTTACATAAACTTCTATCAATACTCACATTATCAATACTGACAACATTGGGAGTTTTTGTAGGTGAGGAAGGTCCTAAAACAGAAAATAAATATTAATATAATCCATCAGACTATTCCTATTCTCTGTTTTAAGGCTACGCAATGCTTAAAGCTCTTTTGGAGCACATGTGGGCTTTCAGTAACACTGTCAACATATCTTTAAAATAGTGGTTTTTCCCCAAAATCATGCCAATAGTTGCTACATCTGCACCCATATGTACACAGAAGGACTTTTTTCTTTCCAATCCACAGCACTGCAGAGAGCTATGCTATATCTCAAAAAAAGTGAGTTAGAGCTTTATAATCTGACAGTCTTGTCTAGATATCCACATATTCATTTGGTAGTTCATCAAGAATCCGAGATTTTTGGAAACAGGAGCCTCCAGAACCAGAAATATCTTCACTGCAGATCTTAGATCCGCTAAAGTTTTTCAACTAGTAAGCAACAATAACAGTCCTTCCAAAGCAGTGAGAAAGACTTCTGTTTCTTACTAAACATTACTAATGCACAATCCTTTTTTCCAAATTCCTGTGAGCATCACAAAATGAATGGGAGAGAACATAATGACCAAGTTAAGCCAGTATTTGAAAACTTCTGTTCTTGTTATTTTCAACACCACAGTCTGAAAAGGGAATTTCAATGATAGATTATGTGTCTTGAAGAAGTTTTGCAGAATAAATATTAAATAAGTTTTTAAAAATTTATTTATATTTCAAATTTGTCACCGCCCATCTCACTGTGGGGTGACTCTGGGTTATCATGTTATCTGCACTTGTACACTCATTCACATATAATATGTTCTGAGGCTGATTTTTTAAAATCTCTGCTAATCATTCTACTACAAAAAACCCTCATCATGCCTAAAATTAAAAGGATTTATGAATTGTCCACCAAACTCAGTACCAAGCCAAAATTCTAAGAAGATATGGCTCACCTGGCAATGTAGATTTTCCACATAAATCTGTGATAACATGGCTTAATGGCACTTTAAGGTTAGAGATAGCAATTTTTACACACACATACACATTCACATATATCCCAGTGCAAACAAACAAACAAACTGAATCAAATCAAACCAAGCCAAAAAACAAAAAACAAAAACATTCCAATGTCTGAAATATTGCTTTTAATTTTAAGGTGTCACAGGCACTATTTTGGGAGGCTACAGATCTTGTATTGGTCCATTACCATTATACCAATTTCCTAAAAGATTTGAAGGTGGATTTATCTGCATCAAGGGACAATCCAGGAATAAGAATCCATTTGTTACAGACATAAAAATATCAATAATTTGGTATATTTTCAATTTTTATATTTTAATTAGAGCAATAGACAAAACTTTTGTCATCACAGAGTGGGAGGAGAGGAGATTACAACAGCTACTACATTACAAGAGAAGTTCATAGGTTTAGCATAAGTAGAATGCTCACTTATAACTAGTAGCCAAATTGCATTTTAAAAGATGCATGAATGTGGGTTATTGAATAAAAAATAAACCCTTTCTATCATTACACATCCACATTAAGGAGAACCTCAACAACATATAGACAGAGCATTGTTTTGGCAGTAGAAGATTTGTACAATTTAGCTATGTCAGCGAGGATCAATTTGTATTGAACTAACTTTGCTAATGGTACCAACTGCCATTTCAAAATACAGTTATCACAAATATAACTGTATATAACTCTATATAGCAAAGCCTATACAGGTAGTCCTCGCTCAACAACCATTCATTCAGTGACCATTCAAAGTTACAATGGTGCTGAACAAAGGGATTTACAACCCATACCTGTAGTTATGGCTATCTGGGCCCTTGGCAATTGGTTTGCCCTTACAACTAGTTGCCAAGGGCCCCGGGATCATGTGATCACCATTTGCAATATTCCCTGCCAGCTTCCCCAGAAAGTCAATGGGGAAGCCGGCAGCGAAGGTCGCAAGCCACTGCCACCTGCCAAGAGGACTTGTTCTAGTCCAGGAGCTGGCTGAAAAAGCTCTGTGCTGAAATCCAAGCAGGATTTTCAGTCTCAGAGTGGAGAGGCTTCTGAAACTTCTCCACTCTGGGGCTGAAAATCCTCTGTGGATGAAAATCTTGCTTGAATTTTGGACAGGGTGTTTGGTGCACAGAGCTTTGGGGGCTGCCTGAAAAAGGTCTGTGCCAAAATCCAAGCAGGATTTTCAGCCACGGAGGATTTTCAGCCACAGATTGGAGTGGCTTCAGAAGCCTCTCCACTCTTGGGCTGAAAATCCCAGCAGTTTTGAGGCCCTCGTGCACCCAACCTGCACCGCACCCCTGCGTACCTGACCCTCCCCTCCCACGCATCCCGTCGCTCCCTCTGACTTGATTGTGGGAAGCCGGCAGGAAGTTGCCTCACTTAATGACCGGGACATTCACTTAATGGTGACAACCAGGACTGCCGGGATTGCAGTCGCTAAGTGTAGCAGTCATGTGATGTTTCGCCTAATGACTGCATCACTTAGCGATGGAAGTTCTGGTCCCAATTGTGGTCATTAGGTGAGGACTACCTGTATTAATATACTGCCCATAAATGAAAACAAGCTTATACAATATTTTACACTGGTTAACTGACCCTTACTGATATGAGATTAAGAAGTCAAATAACAATAAAAAGCCACACACATAAAAAAGACAGTAGACTAAGACAAATGAAGGGAAAGCCAACAAATCACAAGTGAGGTCTTTACATGGCACCACTCAGATATTCACCTTTTATATATTTATTTATGTTCCTATGAAAGTCTTTGCCAATCAGATATACCTGACCTATAGAAACATTCACTGCATTTTCTGAGAGACTCATAGAAAGGAGATGGCGAGATACTTTTTACCTTACTTCTTTCACCATGAATATAGAAATACAGGCATAAGGGTAGCAACATGGGCAACCACAGTATGATAGTATGTGCATTATGTCATAATTGCCAAATGCCACAAATATATAGTTACATCAGATGTCCTGATGCAAAAATAGTAATCACAGAATTTGCATGATTACATCACTGTGCACATGCCATCATTTTGGCATCACTGCATTTTGTTGTCAATGTCATTAGATAGCATTAAGAAGTACTAAATTCTGTTTGAAAGCAACACAGAAAATTTAAGTTATAGCAAATTCATTGCATACCTCCTCTTAGGATAAGCAGTGGCACCTCTGCTCCAACTGGAAACTGCTTCAGTACTTCTACTACCTGGATGTGTGTTAGATTCTGTACATTCTGATGATAAATCTCTTTAATTACATCCCCTTTCTGAAGTCCATGACACCACTGGCTGTCTAAAATCATCTTCACCTTTTGTCCTGCAGGGCTATCAGCTATTGCAAATCCAAAACCTTTAGGTCCCTTGATCAGAGGAATTGTGACCATTTCTGCTTGAGAACATCCTGAAGAAGACCCTGCAGCCCTTTCTTCACCGAAGTCTATTGCTGAAGGACCATTCAGGCGTCCATTGACTAATATATGTCCAGTTTTATTATTGTGATCCAAAACCACTGTTCCTGGGATTAAATCCTGATTGAGTATACAGGTATCTCCTTTTGTAACTGGCTGGCCATTTAAGACAGGAGTGGCTGTGACAATATCTACAACAGGATCTTCACTTTCATCAGGCAGAGGATATCCACGACACAACGTCATATTCACATACTGATTGACGGGAACTAATTGAAACATCTGGACAACATCAGCATGAGTGTGGCCAAGGACACATGTACCATTTATATCTACAATGACATCACCTATTAAAAATGAATAAAATATTAACACAAATAAACATATTTGCATATATTAAAATAATTAAAATAATCTTAGTAACCTCACTTGGAGAACATTAAGAATAATTTAGAACAATGATAAACAGAGATTCTACAATTTTTCCTAAATTTTGCCTTGAACTTAATCTGTATTTTGTATTCGTTAAGCCCTGACATCTAAACACTCTTAATTTGCATTGGATTTGGGAATGAATGTTTATGGGTTTCAAAAGTGAAAAATAGGATGTTAGGGTATGACTCATGCACTAATGTACTGAAGTGTAAATAAATACATGACTTTTCTAGTTCCAATATATTTCTAGATTGATAGGAGTCTCTCAGGTTAAATTTATTTATTATCCCTTCACCTACTACTTGTCTTAGCTTTGTTTTCTATAGTTTTTAAAGTTTTTAATCATAATAATGATAATTGTTTTAGGTATTTATTGTTTTAGCTTTGTTGTATGCTGCCCAGAGTCACTCATTTTGTGAGATGGGTGGTTATATAAATTAGACAAATAAAGAAATAAATATTAGAGTAACATCCATCCTAAATAATTTTGCCTTTAAAAAAACATAAACACTTTCACCATTGTATAAGATTTGCATATGTTCAGATTGTAATCATCTATTTATCACATATTCATTTTGAAGATGCACAAATGCATGAATATGATTCTTGTATTTATGACTTTTATTACAGTTCACATTGTCAACATTCTTTCCATTTAAAGACATTACGTCATTCCCCCAGAAAATTAAAAAACAATTATGCATGATAGATTTAAATTTGAAATGCCCCATATCGAATGCAAAACATGTTTTGAGCTCAAAACACTTCCAAAATGATCAAAGCCCACCATTTTGCTTATCAAACAGATGCTTTTCACTCAATATGTGATTTATCAAATCTCAACCCCTCCTTCCAAATTAGTGGTATTCAAAATAGAGGAAGTTGACTAGAACTAGAATCAAGATCATTTTCAGGATTCCTCCAGATTCATCACTGTCCTTAGGAGCATAAACAAAAGTATAGGAATCCTAATTAAGATGCAGTTTGAAAAAAAATAGCCTTAATTTCTGAAATTTGTATATAATGCTTAAATTTCAAGATGTCCTAGTTCTCTTGATTTCTGTAATTTTCTTAAATAAATCTCTTGTCTTCCCATTTGATTATCTTTAGTTTTGTTGGTTTGCTTATTCAGATTTAACTACATGTCTCTTGTTGCTATTTCTGGAACTCAGCATTTAGTTGAACATGATTTGCTCTGCCTTTTGTTTTCTACTTCTCTTTAGCTATTTATAATGTGTTAAAAGGAAGCCATTTTACCTCATTTTGTCTTTTACCTTTCAGAGTATTTTTGTATGCTTCATCTTTAATGATATCGCTAATTTCAGTTCAGAGTTGTTCAGGGCTCAATCCAATCCAATCCAATCCAATCCAATCCAATCCAATCCAATCCAATCCAATCCAATCCAATCCAATCCAATCCAATCCAATCCAATCCAATCCAATCCAATCCAATCCAATCCAATCCAATCCAATCCAATCCAATCCAATCCAATCCAATCCAATCCAATCCAATCCAATCCAATCCAATCCAATCCAATCCAATCCAATCCAATCCAATCCCTCTATTCTTTAGCTTTACCACATAATTATATGGAAACTGCTGAGATTGTAGCACTTGGTTGGATGATTTTATTTAAGTTTTCTTTTCTTTTCTTTCTTTTGAGAAATTATTTATCTGAGTCACAGTCAGCATGTGTTGTTTTTGATTGAATAGAGCTTCTCCATCTTTGCTTGCAAAATATATATCAGTTTGATTTCAGTGTCATCCATCTGGTGATGCCATGAGTAGAGTTATTTTTAGGTTGTTGATATTGCTATCAACACTGAATTTTCTTGGCAAAACTCTGTTAATCTGCTTCCTACTTCATTTCATACATATTCTCACATTATTCCACATGCTATTTTACTTCCAACTTTAGCTTTCTAGTTTCCTATAATTACCATGTCTGTTTTTCTGGTTGACAAGGTGTTGCAAGTTGTCACTGAACTTTTCTACTTCTGCTTCCTCTACATCTGTGGTTGGAGCACAGACTTGGATCATTATAGATTGACTGGCTTTCTTTTGATTCAAAGCAAGATCATTTGGGGATTGTATTCAAGCACTGATTTTGCCACCCTTGTATTAATAATTATAGCTATTCCATTTCTTCTATGATTTTTTACACACAGTACAAGATCAAATGCCTCTCTGATATAAGTAACCCATTCAAGTCCATTTTTATTTCCATTGATTCTTAGATTGTTGATGTTCGGTTTTGATATTTTACCCAAACAGGGGAGGAATTCTAACTAAATTATTCTGAACAGAACACTCTTCAACTTCTGCTTAAACATATTCAGAGATGGGGAGCCCACCAACTCTCCAGCTAACAATTTACATGTAAAATTGCTTTTTCTGAACCGGAATCTGCTTTCCTGTAACAAGATCACTATTCCATGTCCTGTACCAAATAACAAAAGAGAACAGGTATTGGCCTTTTCTGTGTGTGTTATGCTTCAAGTATATTAAGAGTGGCATTATATTCTCCCTCAGTTGTCCCTTTTTGAGGCTAGGCTTCCCTCAATCTCTTTTTATAGGGAGATATTTTAGCCACCTATCATCTTTATTGGCCTTCCGTGGATGAATTCCAGAGCATCCAAACATATTTTAAAATGTAATGGATACAGTACTCTAAATGGAGTCTGGCCAATACAAAATAGATTGGAACTATTACTTCCCATGAAGTCACACTGTTTCTCATATTCCATTATTGATCAACTATAAGACTAAGATCTTTTTCACAAATTACTCCTCCTAAGTAAAAAGCTTTGCATTCGTCTCTTAAATTTCACCTGTATCCACTCAATGAATGCTTAGGCCTGGATCCAGCCCATGAAAGTAGAAGCACCAATGGATTATTTTTATTCCATTTTATTTATTTTACATATTTCTTTTAAAAGCAGAAAAATAGAATCTAAAATACTACTTCTACTTTGTAAAAGAGTGATCAATTGTTAGCTCATTCTTCTGTGATTCCCCAATATTGTTAATATATAATGAATCCTGTAAAATGGGTGACGATACAGAAAAGATTTTAAGAAGCTGAGGGCAGGCACTTTATCACAAAGCTAGCATGCAATACCACATAGGCTTCACGTTTTGTCATGAATGATAAAAAAAAACCCTAGAAACTAAATCCTGAAAGGGCAGGATGTGGAGCAGATGCGGTAGCTTAATTCTGGGACAATCACTATTATTTGAATAAGTACTTTTATAGAAGGTGTATTCTTTAAACAGAAAACTTATAAAATATCATTTTAGTGCTATTGTATTCTTGTATACACTTTCTCAAATTGTTTCTTGCTATCCAGGAAATATATTTTTGCAGTGCAAATATCTGCAATGTAACCATGCCTTTATAGCTATTTAGTCAGCTGAACAATTTGATGTCTAAATACCAGGAGTATAAAAGCCTTTTTACTTGAAAAACTTGATAGTCTGACTAGCCCAAACCTGTTCACTGAAAGCAAGGCAGACAACTTTTAATCAAAATTAATTCTTAAATAGTGCCTCCTCCTGATTATATTTACACTTATTGTGTTCTTTCCTCAGCAATTAATGCAGAGTATTATATATAATGCAGAGCATTATATATAATGCAGAGAATTCATACATTCTTGGCAAATATTTTATTTCATCATGCTGGCCCTTTAGTGGGAAAGCACAAAATCCCACACATGCAGTGAATAGTTTATGATACATTAATAACGAGACAGGTATTAATCTGTAATAATGTTCTTTGTTAAACACATTGGAAACATGACAACAATCTTCCATGGATATATTTTTAAAAAAATATAACATTCCTTTAAGCATTACTTTACAGTATTCCCCTGAAAAGTCACTAATTACTTAATTCTGAAATTTGCATAGACTTAAACAGACTGTCAAACATCAAAATTCTGGCATTACTATATCTGAATACTGAATCACAGTAAATCAATACTAGAGATATCCTCTCCAAGTTCAGGGAGTTTACCAAACTGCCCCTGAACAGGGGGAGCACAATATTCCAAAGATCTCCAGAACATTCTATAGATCATTAATTTTTGCATACTAACATTTCAATACTATTGAATACAGTATTTTGAAGCCTTTCAAAATCCTAATACATGAACAAAATGAAGGAAAATATTCCACAAACCATTTGTATGCAGGATTCACCAAGAAAATACTAGTCACTTTTGTGGAAATGCCAGAAGGTTTATGTATTCTGAGGACATGTTAACAACATGGAACCATTGTGCCTTTCATGCCTAAATCTTCTGCTAGTTTTGTTACCGTGAAGATTTTTGGCTGAAGCTTTATCTCTGCTATATGATCTCTAAACCACTGAAAAGTATCCAGAAACTTCAGCTGGTTCAAAACGCAGCCACGCGGGCAATTTTAGGTGCCCCAAGGATGGCACATGTTACACCTTTGCTACATGAGCTGCATTGGGTCCCAATTTGCTTCTGGGTCCAATTCAAAGTATTGGTTATCACCTTTAAAGCCCTACATGGCATGGGACCGGGTTACCAAAGGGACCGTCTCACCCCCATTATATCCACCTGTCCCACTCAGTCAGGCAGGGAGGATATGCTGTGAATCCCATCGATAAAAGAATGTCGACTTCTCTGCCATGGCCCCCATCCTATGGAATACTCTCCCCCCACAGGTGAGGCAGGCCCCAACTCTCTTGTCCTTCCGGAAAGCAGTCAAGACCTGGCTCTGCCAACTGGCATGGGGAGAAAAAAAGGGCAACCAACCCTGGGGATGGCTAGCACCTTGAAGATACTCCCATATGTTAACATCTTACTGACCATCACCATCTTGGAAAATATTATTTGTGTATGTGTTTGGTTTTTATTCTATTTTATATTGTTTTTATTG